GGTACTTTTTTACAAAACAACCATCAAGTCAAAAATGAAAGAAAATTTACTTTTTTGTTTAACTATAAAATATTTTATTTTGGTCGGCTCTGGGCCCCTAAATGGCGTTCCCCTCCCCCCCCCCCCCGCATTGCGCGGTCTGGCGGCACTGTAGTTCCGTCCTTGATCAGTTATGGACATATTATAATAGTATTTTTTCCTTTCAAAACGAATTTAGAAAAAATAAAGTTGTAGGAATAAAAAAAAATGTGTAATAGGTCAATGCAAAAAAAAAAAAACAGTAGAAGAAAGTCCTACATGTAAAATTTAAATAGAAAGTCACAAATGATGTTTAACGATGTAAACTTAACGATTCTAAGATAATTTAGTATTTTATTGGTTTAGTTGCTTTTTATAATTAGTCCTTAGTGTAATAATAATTTTTTTTTTTTTGCATATTTATTTTTTTTTTTTTTTAAATTTCAGACAGCTATGAAATACTTAAAATACGGATACAAATAGTATACATTTATACATACCAAACAACTATATAGGCCAATAACTGAAAATTACAAATGATGAAAAAAACAGAAAAGAACGTAAATGTGTTAATTTAAAACTAAGACAAGAAAATGAACAAGGAAATGAGCTTGTGAACATACAACATACAAAATGGCAGCAAAAACAGACTCTTTCGTTTAAAAATGATCATAATATAAATATACAACGCAAAAGCGATTGGCAACGAAGAAACTATAGTTCAAAGTATGATAACTAATAGTTTGTTGAACATTAGACACACGACAAGTAGATCAATAGACTCACCCTTCCCACAACTCTGGGAGCTCAAAAATCACATTAAAACGAGACAAGTGGAACACCTGACTACCCTATAAATGGACTCACCCTTTCCACGACCCAGCAAGCTCAAAAACCACATTAAAACGAGACAAGTGGAACACCTGACTACCCCATTAATGGACTCACCCTTTCCACGACCCAGCAAGCTCAAAATCCACATTAAAACGAGACAAGTGGAACACCTGACTACCCCATAAATGGACTCACCCTCTCCACGACCCAGCAAGCTCAAAAACCACATTAAAACGAGACAAGCGGAACACCTGACTACCCCATAAATGGACTCACCCTTTCCACGACCCAGCAAGCTCAAAAACCACATTAAAAAGAGACAAGCGGAACGCCTGACTACCCAATAAATGGACTCACCCTTTCCACGACTCTGTAAGCTCAAAAACCACATTAAAACGAGACAAGTGGAACACCTGACTACCCCATAAATGGACTCACCCTTTCCACGACCCAGCAAGCTCAAAAACCACATTAAAAAGAGACAAGCGGAACGCCTGACTACCCAATAAATGGACTCACCCTTTCCACGACCCAGCAAGCTCAAAAACCACATTAAAACGAGACAAGCGGAACGCCTGACTACTCAATAAATGGACTCACCATTTCCACGACTCTGGAAGCTCAAAAACCACATTAAAACGAGACAAGTGGAACACCTGACTACCCCATAAATGGATTCACCCTTTCCACGACCCAGCAAGCTCAAAAACCACATTAAAACGAGACAAGTGGAACACCTGACTACCCCATAAATGGACTCACCCTTTCCACGACCCAGCAAGCTCAAAATCCACATTAAAACGAGACAAGCGGAACACCTGACTACCCCATAAATGGACTCACCCTTTCCACGACCCAGCAAGCTCAAAAACCACATTAAAACGAGACAAGCGGAACACCTGACTACCCCATAAATGGACTCACCCTTTCCACGACCCAGCAAGCTCAAAAACCACATTAAAACGAGACAAGCGGAACACCTGACTACCCCATAAATGGACTCAACCTTTCCACGACTCTGCAAGCTCAAAAACCACATTAAAAAGAGACAAGCGGAACGCCTTGACTACCTAATAAATGGACTCACCCTTTCCACGACCCAGCAAGCTCAAAAACCACATTAAAACGAGACAAGCGGAACGCCTGACTACTCAATAAATGGACTCACCCTTTTCACGACTCTGGAAGTTCAAAAACCACATTAAAACGAGACAAGTGGAACACCTGACTACCCCATAAATGGACTCACCCTTTCCACGACCCAGCAAGCTCAAAAACCACATTAAAACGAGACAAACGGAACACCTGACTACCCCATTAATGGACTCACCCTTTCCACGACTCTGCGAGCTCAAAAACCACATATAGGTTTCGTGATCGAACTCTTTGACGAGATAAAAGACGCTGCCCAGTGTCCGCTCTATACCTGGTTGGAGAGAATTAGCACAGTTCAAAGCAAAACATGGCGTAAAACACGTACACAGAGAACAATCAAAAGGCAGGGGGGGGGGGAGGAGTGGTGGGATAACTGTCTGATCTTTGAACTTGATTCGTGTTTTCTCGTTTGAGAAATTGTTTCTTTTTCGTTCATTGAATTTTTATTTTATTTATGTTTTTAATAAACATTGGATTGTTTCATGTGTAAACA